CCTAGCGTGGGCGCCGGCGCCAATGGTTCCCTTGCGGCGGCGGCGAGGGCGCAGGTGGGGCCGCCCACGAACCCCATGGCCACGGCGCTGCTCACCGATCAGTACCAGTTTTCCATGGCCTACGCCTACTGGAAGGCCGGCAAGCACGCCGACCATGCCGTGTAAGCACCCCTCGCCTCTGCCTCGTGTTCTCCGCTTCGCGTAGCTCTGGTTCGGTTGTGCCGATTGGATTGGATCGACGGGTGGTGTGATCTGGTGCCAGTTGGTGAGTTGGTTGGTTCCGGGTTAGGTTCGGGGGAATGAATTGGCGAGAGGTCTGATTTTTTGGGTCATACTTGGATTGTTCCTGCAATTCTGTCATTGCTGTGGCGAATAGTTTGGTTTCAATCTATGCGGTAGTTTGGTTTTTGTTCTCGTGCAATTCTGTCATTATTTGGTATATAGTTATTGGTTAACACAGCGCAGTTTTGCGCTTTGATGTTTTATTATTTGGTAGTTCCTTGATTGGCTAACTGGTACTCTGGTTTTGCTCTCGGAAGCCGTCTTGCCTGTAGTTTTGATCATTTTCCTTGTCAGTAACTAAAAAAATGCTGTGCGCTGGTTTTACTTTATTTTTTCGAATTTTCACTCTTGCTGTGTGTGGCTGCGAAGTCTGGGGCTATCCTATTTTCGAAAAATAAACAGCTGAAGTGGCATTTTTTGGTTGGTTCTTGATTGTTCCGCTATGCATTACTTTGGAAAGCCCTTCTCAATGTGCATTGTTTAATTAATCTCTTTATATTGTCAAAATTGTGAGTTCAACTGTCGTTTATTGACTGGGCTTGCCATTGCTTTCATGTGGGTCCAGGTGTTCTTGTGTTAACAAAATTGGACTGGAGTTTCTTTTAGGATTTTTTTCCTCCATTGTTGTTTTAGTATGTAGCACCTCATGTGTGGATTCTAACATATAGGCACATCTATTTATTACTCCCTCTGTCCCATAATATAAAATCGTTTTTCAAGCTAACATAGCTTGAAAAACGATCTTATATTGTGAGATGGAGGGAGTATGTCATTGTGGGCTGTCTAGAACTTTTAGTGTTGATCAATATTTTCTAATTGGTGATATGATTTACTCCGGGTGCAGAGGAAACAAATGCATAGGGACATCTGAATGATGTCACAAGGTTGAATGAACTAGAATTTTCAGTGTGAACATGGAGTATTTTCTAAATGGTGGTATAATGTACTCCTTGTGCAGAGGAAACAAATGGATGTGGACATTAATGATGTGATGTGGTTGAATGAACAACGGACTTTGGTACTTGAGTAAACAAAGAGACTATTGGTTCTTGGGTTTCATATTTACTATTCTTGCGAGAGGAGGGACGGGGGTGGTATGTTATGCCAATTTTCAATTTTTTGAGAAGGGGAAAGTGACTGTTTTTGGACTTGGGGAAGTTACAAGAAGAGAAAAGTCTATGTAATTTTGTCATTGGCAGAATATTTGGGGAGAGAGGCACTTCTGTATATAGCTTTGAACAACATGACACTAAAACTCAGAAACTACCCAAAAATATATGAAAATTGAGTTAAAAGAGAAAAGTTAGTGAAGTTATTTTCTCTATGTTTGTATGGTCATATATATGCCTGTGTCGTTTGCTTTATCCAAATGGGCTCACATGGTGTGCCTTGATGTCTGTTGAATCAATTTCAGTTAATATGGGCCTAAAATTTCAGCTAACAACCCAGACGTACTCAATTGCATGCTGATTTTGTTCCTTTTCATTTTGCAGGTTTGACCTGTACTTCAGGAAAAATCCATTTGGTGGAGAGTTTACTGTTTTTGCTGGTCTTGAAGAATGTATTAAATTCATTGCAAACTTTAAGTTCACGGAAGATGAGATTTCTTTCCTGCAGTCAGTAATGCCAATGTGTGAGGTATCATCTGGACACCGTATACATGTATTATATACAATATTCTTTCTTTCTTCAAATGGTAAAATAGGTTCTTAGATTAGCTGCTAGGTTATGAATATACCTTTTGGTTGGTCCTGTGTATTGGCAGGCTGATTAGCATGGGCTACAATAGGTCCAACTCAAATGCTAGATGTAAGAAAGTTTAACTTCAAACTTAGCGTGTCTTTCTTTTTTTGAAACGGAGGCAAAAACTTAGCGTGTTGTTTCTTGTATAAGCTATTCTTCACCCAACTTTTAGTATGCATATATGTAACACTCATTTGGTTATTTGATCTGAGAAACACTTATTTACTGATATAATTGCAATTTCTAGGATGCATTCTTTGATTATCTCCGGGGAATTGATTGCTCTGATGTGGAAGTGTACTCCACTCCTGAGGGCTCAGTAGTCTTTCCAAAAGTGCCCTTGATGAGAGTTGAGGGTCCAGTTGCTGTAAGTACAAAGCCCCTAACTAGCTGTTATGCGTAATAATGTCAGTCACAAACTTTAGTTCTGAGCATTAACTAAAACTTGAATTTTTGCTATAGCAACTTACTCTTGTTATAAAATCATTAGGTGGTTCAACTACTTGAGACTCCATTTGTAAATCTCATCAATTATGCCTCTTTGGTAACCACGAATGCTGCGCGGCACCGTCATGTTGCTGGAAAGTCAAAGGTTCTAATGGAATTTGGTTTAAGACGAGCGCAGGTGTGATGATCTTCTATCCTTTCTGCACCATTATTTCAGCTTTAATTTATACTCCCTCCGTCCGAGAAAACCTGTCCCAAGCTTATTCCTCAAATGGATGTATCTAGCACTAACTTGGTGCTACATACATCCATTTGAGGGACAAGTTTTTCCGGATGGAGGGAGTACAAATATTAGGTATTTCCACATGTGAAATCTGAATTGTAGCTTTGGATTTATGTTTGCAGGGGCCTGATGGCGCAATAAGTGCTTCAAAGTATTGTTTTATGGGAGGCTTTGATGCAACCAGGTGAGTTCTTTCACATCAATGGAAGATCATATCTGTGCTCTATTTCCTTGTATCGTTTCGCTTCTCTTTTTCTCCTTAAACCTTTTATCTCCCAAAAATGTTAGTGTTGCTATAGTGCACCATTGGTTAATTTTATTCTCTTGCAGTAATGTATTGGCAGGACATCTATTTGGCATACCACTCCGTGGAACACATTCTCATGCTTATGTCAGCTCATATATGGTTAGTAAAATACAATTCCTGTTATTGATGAACAAAAGCTATTACATATGCAATAATGTGATATCATTGGAACCTTACCGTGCATCTGTTCATCATGTAGTTTCATTAGTCAAACAATTCTTCACTACATTGGTTGCTGAGCCCCATGTCGTATCAGCATTGAAGTTTGAATATTTGTTGTCTCATCACACTAGCACTCAAATTATGATCCTGGTGACCATCTAGTTCATTCAATGATGGATATTGTTCAATCTTTATTTTTTTACATAACCTGCATCTGCATGTGCATATTATTTTTCTATTTTCCTAGCATACTAGTACTTTTTATCATTCTCCTTGCTAGTTTGCATTTTTGTGGACAATTGGTGTCTTTGCTTGCTAATTAACATGGTACAATATTTCAAACATACAGATACAAATCATTTTTTGAACATATTCTCTCGTATACACTTATGTGCAATGTCCGCAACATTTGGTACCGGCCCTTGCATTTGCATCTTTAGAAATCATCCTTACATATCTCTGGCATTCTGAAAGTTCTTTTTTCTGGCATCCATTGTTATTTTCATCGATGGCTGATTTGGCAATTGCTTTAAATCTTCCAGAGCCTTGATGAGATCCCAGACAGAACCCTAAGGAACAAAGATGGTTCAAAAATCTGCAAGGATTTTGTTAGTTTAGTGAAAGAGTGGCTTTGCAAGATTCAGGTACAATTGCAGAACTTTGCTGTGCAGTTTTCGCTTGTTGCAGCATTCTTATGTTACTTGTTGATTTCAGGCAGCAGATTCATTACGTAATGTATTTGGCGATACAAATCAAAGTGAGCTGGCTGCATTTGCATCATATGCGTTGGCTTTTCCAAGCAGCTTTCTAGCACTGGTGGACACATATGATGTGAGCTGTTAACTTATTGCAGCCTGCAACTTTTTCCCTTGTTGTTCTGCTGTTATTCATGTCTGAATGAGGCCTGAAACTTAGCACATAATAGGGTTTTGCATTGCTCTTCTCAAGCTCCTTTGTTGGTATTTTCTTAAAAATTACTAGGCTCTGTTATATCTCTGAGCTGTCTGGCTCTTGTATTTTAAAATAGAAGTTTATCCAACTTAGACATGGTTAGGATGTCAGCGCTGTTATTTGGATTGATTTGTTGCATCTGAGGTCACCTGCACCCATTAGTTCACGAAAATTGAAAAGTGTGTTTCACATTTTTAAATATAAAAAGATGTGAAAAAAAATCCATGCATGTGCATACGGTATTATAGTATGCAAATTTTCGTGAGAAAATATGCCAATTTTGTGTTCAGGAACCTTTTATGTAGGGGATTTATTCTTTATCCAATCTCCACAGAGCACCAGAATGCATGTTTTGGCATCAAAATTGGCGGATACATGCTTCAATACTTCTTGTATATGTGTGATTTATTTCAAGAATTCTTAGAATGTCGACTTTTTTTAAGCCGGGAGCTCTTGCTTCTAAGCTTAGCTCGAAGTTAGGACATCAGTCTGGCTTTACTCCAGGAAGGTGTAGTCAACTATGTATTGATGTTTGCACTACAACTTTATCCTTGTTTTGTGTTGTCTAACAAATGATGACCATGCAAGTGTACGTACATGACCCATTCTCCTTCTTATACCATTTGCATTCTTCACCTGTAACATGTACTCCCTCCGTTCCGAATTACTTGTCGCAGGTATAGATGTATCTACATGTATTTTAGTTCTAGATACATCCATTTCTCCGACGAGTAATTTGAAACGGAGGGAGTATATTATTAGTTTATTTATGCTATCCCTGCATTATCTGGAGCACAATCTCACATTTTTTTTTCTTTTTAGGTTATGCGAAGTGGGATTCCAAATTTCTGTGCGGTAGCTCTAGCACTCCATGACTTAGGGTATGTCAAACCTATTCTTGGACACCTATTCCATGTGCATTGGGTTATCAGTATTGGAGCTTGGCATATCTTGGAAGTTTGTACATAATAGAGTAGCTAATGTAGGCAAAGGCTCACGTACAAAAGACCCAAAGTGGTCGGACCCTGCGCAAGCGGGAGCTAAGTTCACTGGGCTGCCCTTTAGAGTAGCAAAATTCAGAAAATCCCTTATCCAAGAAATTACAAATGAAGCTAAAGTTTATCAGAAACTCCATCCCAGTGATATCAAATTTAGGAGTGGTTTAATCTTACAACAACTTTCTGATTATATGCTTAAGCCCTCCCAAACAAGTTTCTGTCAGATTCACGTGTACTTGCAAAATAATCCATAATATCCCAGTACTCTGGATCCCCTCGTGCTGTTATAATCTAAAGATGACATCTACTCCCTCCGTCCAATAATGTAATACATTTTTTGGCACTACACTAGTGTCAAAAAATATCTTACATTATGGGATGGAGGGAGTATTTGTTTTGGTCTTTAATGTTCTGTTTTTTTAGTCATGGAAAATGTTATAAATTACTTAATCATGTGGTCATTGTTTTGGTAAAAAAATCATTGAAACAATCAGTTTGGATAAATATATATATATTTCTTTTGTAGGTACAAGGCATCTGGTATCAGATTAGACTCTGGTGATCTAGCCTATCTGTCTATTGAAACTCGAAAAGTTTTTCATGCAATAGAAAAGGAATTCAATATACCTGGTTTCGGGAAGATGATCATTACTGCTAGCAATGACCTGAATGAGGAAACAATTGATGCTCTGAACAAGCAGGTAAAATGCTGTCTCATTATTGAGTGACTTGACGACAAGTTCTCTTACACCTCTCTCTTAAGCACCTTGCATTGTACACAACTTTACAATGAAGTGAGATGACAATACATCAAGAACTTCGTGTCATGTACTTATGATGTTATATGCGTCTGTGTGTAGTTCTGTGGCGCTAATGATCATGAACTACATAATTTTTCTTTATTTTATTTTCATATGCCTATGGGGTTACAAATTTTTATCTTCTTTACAGGGTCATGAAGTTGATGCCTTTGGAATCGGAACTTATCTTGTAACGTGTTATTCCCAAGCTGCTCTTGGATGTGTCTTTAAGCTAGTTGAGATCAATAGTAGACCTCGTATCAAACTTTCTGAGGATGTGGCAAAAGTATGTTTGCTGTTTACACCCTGAAAAAGATTTGCATAATTTTACTTCCCTGATACTTAATGATGGTGTCATGTTATGTTGCAGGTCTCTATTCCATGCAAAAAGCGGTGTTTCAGATTGTATGGAAAAGAAGGCTATCCGTTGGTAGACATCATGATACGTGAAAGTGAACCATCACCAAAGGTAACAATGCACGCGTGTTCTCTATTCAGATGTGAGGTTCTATACTTGTCATACTATTGTCAATCATAATCTACCTTAGAATGGAGTATACTGAGTCGATCATATGCTTCACATTGTTGTCATGCGACTGTCTTCACCTTTCATATCCTTTGTTGACTTCATCTATAGTGTCTTGTTCTTATTTATTTTTAACTGGACTTCACATCTTTGAAATATTCCAGGCAGGAGAGAGAATTCTTTGCCGCCATCCGTTCCTTGAATCCAAGAGGGCTTATGTTGTCCCCCAGCATGTTGAGGAGCTGCTACATTGCTACTGGCCTGGGAGTTCAGGTATGGACCTCTTATCATTTACAGCGATGAGTTTTCTTCGAAAAACCTCAAAAGGCAGGAGCTCTGCAATTCACTATAGAGGATATGCTGGGTCTTGTAATGGAATCGGCCAAACTCACAAAGTCCGCATTCAGGTTACCCCTGAAATAAAACAACAAGGCAACTGCAGTTGGCTTGCCTGCACTCATGCATCCAACAACAGGCAACAGAATACCAGGGGCAGCCTTGCCACACTTGACGTCCAACTGGACAACACCCCAGCCACACTCCCACTACTCCTAACATGCCCGGAACTAGTTATTTCTTGCAGCAACTTTGTCCACCATGGCTAATTCGGAAAGTGGTTGCTGAACGAGTAATTAGGATCACTATACGTTGGCTAATTCAGAAAGTGGTTGCCGAACGAGTAATTAGGATAACTATACGTTGGCTAATTTGTAAAGTGGTTGCCGAACGAGTAATCAGGATCACTATACGATGGGGTTGTTTTGTTGCATAACAGCCATTCAAATCACGAAATCTGTTAAAAAGAAAGGAGGTGGCATGAAAGGCTCACCTGAACCAGTTAGTAGTATTTTCTAGTGCTCTGTGGTGTTGATATTTTCCTAGACTTGATGTAGAAAGATCAACCACCTCTTTTGCATCGTCCAACCCTGAGTGGTGGAAGGCTAGCTATTTGGATTAGTGCCTGCTTCTTAATGCAAAGACGTGCTTCCATGCACGGTGGAGAAAACGGGGACACTGGAGCTGGTGATTGCAAAAGTGGAACAAGCCTGTTAAACTGTGGACCGTAGTAGTATTGTCAGTGGATTAAACATGAATTATATGTGTACATCTGTGTTGTGTGCAGATAAACCTAGAGCAGAGTTGCCCCCGCTGCTGAAGATCAGAAGCCGCTGTATGCAACAGCTCGAAAAACTTCGACCGGATCACATCAGACGGCTAAATCCGACACCTTACAAGGTTGTGATTTTGAAATCTTCATTTATTTACATTTGTTTGTTTCTTACCATATCACTTGAGTCGTAACTTTGGTCTTTCACAAAAAGAGAGTCGTAACTTAAATCTTCTTGACTTGGAGCAGGTGAGTGTGAGTGCAAAGCTGTACGAGTTCATCCATTACCTATGGCTGAACGAGGCGCCAGTAGGCGAATTACAGTAGATGGCTGCACAAGTTGTTGGAGTCAGACGACATTCTTGCAAGCATAGCAATTGCAATACGTTATACTACGTCAAAGAAAAGTTAGAGCTCTGTTGTTGTACAACATGGCGATCCATCAGCTCAATAGCCCCATCTCGTAGAATTTCATTCTTGATACCCAATTTCCATTTGTACAAATTCATTGCCAGTATAAAGGCAGGCAGATCAGTTTACTACCCCTTGGCTGGTGGAATACTATATATATGAGGTGTTATGGAATTACTGTATTAAAGAATAAGAATCAGTTGAGAGGAACGTGGTTGTTGCTTTGCAGCACGCACCGACACATTTGCAGGCTATACTCGTTGAAAACACAACGAGAGTGTAGCGAGGCTGAAACTTGAGGACGGTACACCATGTGTCGGCTCTAGTTTTGATCTTGCTTGGCTTATTTATGCGAGGCTACCTGGAGATGAATACAAAGGACGCACTCAAACAGCGAGCAGAAAAGGACGGGTGCCGTGCTTTCCAACTACCGCTGTACTCCTTATTGCACAATGTAGTAAGCTGAACAGATTGGATTGGTTGGTGATGGCGATTGTGATTGTGATTGTTTTACTAAATAAATGGCTCTTTTGATTCGAAAAAAATAACTCCACAGAATTCTATACGGCGTGAGGGCAGTGCGGAGCAGTAGATCTCGAGCTGAGCATCACCATTTCCACTCTTTCGCACGGTGGCAACCCCTTGTGACAAGGTGACCTCGTGTAGGCATCACCAAGCCTTGTTGAAAACAATATTACAAAAAAAGAAGCCTTGTTTTTTTTATGATAATCAATACCATGATATACTTATAGTAGCAAATTGTACATGGTAGAGATACATGAGCTGACTACAGTGATTACAAAATAAAGTCTAAAAAAAATGAGCAAACCTTCGAGATCTTCAAACTCTTCCTTCTGAAGACAAGCCGTAGGAACATGACAAAAGTATCAAACCATGGTCCTGTAAATACCAACGAGGGTTCTCACATTGTTTTAGTTTGAGCCGCAATGCCAAGGCTGTGATGCACGCACGCCGCCATTAAACTAATCAACCAACACCGACAAGAGTACCAACACCAGTATTTCAGGGATAAAAAGCAGAACAACCAGGTCGACGTCGCTGGGAGCCGAGAGTACGAATCAACATTGTTGAGGATGTAGTAGCCGGGACATATATTGCAAGGACAATCCTCCTCGCGGCGACCATGAGAAAAAAAATCCAAAACTGATCTGGCGAAGCAAAGATCTGAAGGATCATACCTAGACAAATTTAATCTTCCAACACCACCATTGATGTCGGGAAAAAGATCTCGTCATCGAATGAAGATTATTTATTGTAGACGATGCCATCTCCAACGAACAAGACGACTACCAAAACCCTAAATCAATCTAATAAAAACACTACTATTATTAAGAACTCCACTCATAGATCGGGTTCCCCACACCTCCCGACACCGGCAAGACCGTCCGGAGGAGGGGGAACCGATCTATGGTGGAGGTAGAGGTGGCGGCGGCGAATAGGTCTTTTTCAGAAGGAGGTGGTGGCGGCAATCAACTAACGGGTCCCGCCGTTGCGTTTCTTGCTTCTCTCTGGTTTCCCTTCTCCAAAAAAAAGAAGCCTTGTTGAAAACACACCACCCGCCGATTACTTAGATCATCTAGAGCTGGACTTGGCAAATCCGCCCCACTATACGTCCGCGGACGCACTGGGCATGCCAGCAGACGCATCCAGACGGGCCCTCATATCTCATGTCCGGCATCCAAATATCTCAAATCCATGCACGTCGATTGAGGGAGTCCTGGATTAGGGGGTATTCGGACAGCCGGATTATATCCTTTGGCAGGACTGTTGGACTATGAAGATACAAGATTGAAGACTTCGTCCCGTGTCCGGATGGGATTCTCCTTGGCAAGGAAGGCAAGCTTGGCAATACGAATATGTAGATCTCCTTCTTTGTAACCGACTCTATGTAACCCTAGCCCCCTCCGATGTCTATATAAACCGGAGGGTTTAGTCCGTAGGACCAAGAACAATATACAATCATAGCATAGGCTAGCTTCTAGGGTTTAGCCTCTCTGATCTCGTGGTAGATCAACTCTTTTACTACTCATATCATCAAGAACAATCAAGCAGGATGTAGGGTTTAACTCCATCAAGAGGGCCCGAACCTGGGTAAAACATCGTGTCCCCTGCCTCCTATTACCATCCGCCTAGACGCACAGTTCGGGACCCCCTACCCGAGATCCGCCGGTTTTGACACCGACATTGGTGCTTTCATTGAGAGTTCCTCTGTGTCGTCATCATTAGGCTTGATGGCTCCTTCAATCATCGATAGCGATGTAGTCCAGGGTAAGACTTTTCTCCCCGGACAGATCTTTGTATTTGGCGGCTTCGCACTGCGGGCCAACTCGCTTGGCCATCTGGAGCAGATCGAGAGTTACGCCCCTGGCCACCAGGTCAGATTTGGAAGCTTAAACTACACGGCCGATATCTGCGGAGACTTGATCTTCGACGGATTCGAGCCCCTGCCGAGTGCGCCACACGGTCACGATGAGCATGATTTAGCTCTACCATCGGACAGTGTTCAGGAGATCGCACCGGCAACCGCTCCGACCCTCAATTCGGAGCCAATCGCGCCATCCATGGACGGGTGGATAGACCCCGCCACAGAGGCCGCATCCTCAGCGGCGATCGAGCCGAGTATCGACCTTACCCTTCACGGGAGCCGTGATGCCGAACTGCCGGATTCTTCCCTGGCCACGGACTCCGAACCGCCTGCGCCCGTGCCTATCGAATCCGACTGGGCGCCGATCATGGAGTTCACCTCCGCGATATCTTTCAGCACTCACCCTTTGGCGACATACTGAACTCATTAAGGTCTCTCTCCTTGTTAGGAGAGTCCTGGCCGAACTATGTCCGACAGGATTGGGATGCGGATGACGAAGAAATTCGCCACCCACCCACCACCCACTTAGTAGCCACTGTCGACAATTTGACCGACATGCTCGACTTCGACTCCGAAGACATCGACGGTATGGACGATGATGCAGGAGACGAACAAGAACCACTGCCCACAGGGCACTGGACAGCCACCTCATCATATGATATATATATGGTGGACACACCCAAAGAAGGCAATGGCGTCGGGACAACGGAGGATGACCCCTCCAAGAAGCAACCCAAGCGTCGACGTCAGCGGTGCCGATCTAAGTCTGGCCAAAGCAAAAGCGGTGATACCGGCACAAGAGATGATAGCACTCCGGACAGTGCCGAAGATAATGACAATCCCCTCCAGCAAGATTTAGAGCAGGAGGACGGAGAAGCCAGCCCTCCCGAGAGAGCGGCAAATGGAGAGGCGGAGGATGATAATTACATGCCTCCCTCTGAAGATGAGGCAAGCCTCAACGATGACGAATTTGTCATGCCTGAGGATCCCGTCGAGCAAGAGCGCTTCAAGCGCCGGCTTATAGCCACGACAAATAGCCTTAAGAAAAAGAAACAGCAGCTTCAAGCTGATCAAGATTTGCTAGCTGACAGATGGACTGAAGTCCTTGCGGCCGAGGAATATGAACTCGAACGCCCCTCCAAGAGTTACCCAAAGCGCAGGTTGCTACCCTGACTGGAGGAGGAAGCATTAAAACCTACATCTCCAGCGTATGACGCGGCTGATCGGCCACCTCGTGGCCGCGACAGAGAGACATTTCAGCCAAAAGCTCAGCCCGCACCCCGACGCCACTCAAATAAAAATGTCAAGGCACGGGGAAACATGCTAGACCTGCGAGACGTATTGGAGGACAAAGCAAAACACGCAAGATCGATCTACGGATCACGAGGGCGCGCCACTACGCGAGACGATAACCGTCACGCCGGATACAGTAAATGTAAATCCGGCCGGGCCGAACACAGCGGACAAGACTCATTTGAGCTGCGTCGCGACATAGCCCAGTACAGGGGCGCCACACACCCCCTATGGTTCACAGACGAAGTAATGGATCACCAAATCCCAGAGGGTTTCAAACCCATAAATATTGAATCAGACGACGGCAGAACAGATCCTGCGATATGGATCGAGGACTTCCTCCTGCACATCCACATGGCCCACGGTGATGATCTACACACCATCAAATACCTCCCACTCAAGCTCAAAGGACCAACTCGGCATTGGCTCAACAGCCTGCCAGCAGAATCCATTGGCTGTTGGGAAGATCTGTAAGAAGCATTCCTCGACAACTTCTAGGGCACTTATGTGCGACCACCAGATGCCGATGACTTGAGCCACATAATTCAGTAGTCAGAGGACCAGGCAATTCTGGACATGGTTCCTGACAAAGAAAAAACAAATCATCGACTGTCCGGATGCAGAGGCCCTAGCAGCTTTTAAGCACAACATCCGTGATGAGTGGCTCGCCCGGCACCTTGGCCAGGAAAAGCCGAAATCTATGGCAGCCCTCACGACACTCATGAACCGCTTTTGCGCGGGAGTGGACAGTTGGCTGGCTCGCAACAATAATATATCAAAGAACCATGGTACTTCGGATACCAAGGATGGTAATGGCAGGTCACGTCGCAACAAACACAAGCGCCGCATCAACAGCGACAATACCGAGGATACGACAGTCAATGCCGGATTCAGAGGCTCTAAACCCGGTCAGCGGAAAAAGCCATTCAAAAGAAGCACCCCGGGCCCGTCCAGTTTGGACCGTATACTCGATTACTCATGTCAAATACACGACACTCCCGACAAGCCAGCCAACCACACCAACATGGAATGTTGGGTGTTCAAGCAGGCCAGCAAGTTAAATGCCGAAAACAAAGATAAGGGGTCTCATAGCGATGACGAGGA